TCGTGCCAAACATATTCTTCTTAACTATCTTCTTCTTCATAATCAGCCTAGTTTTGATCAACAACTCGCTTTCCAAGCCGATCATGAACACTCCTATTTTTTAAGCGCCGATCCATATTATTATGATGATACTCATCTCGAGCATGGATAGATCGGAGGTTGGCTTGAGATTACCTAAATTCCCAATATTGCTCACTGCACTCTGGGCAATTATTTCTAGTAGGCAATTTCAAACCTTCATTCCAACAATGCCTGAAGAAAGGACAAATCTAATGTGATTCAGCTTGCTTTCTTTCATGCCTCTCTTTCTCTTATTAACGTTGGTATTCTTGCTCTTCTAACCAACGCTGATAATCCTTTTCCTTCTACCGCTACCATTTATTCAACAAAATTTGAGATGTAATATGCGGCCTTATCGCCCTATCCCTTGGCGTCTCTCCCTGCTCATATCGGCTCTTTTATTGATCACGATGCCTTCTAATCTCTCTATATTCATCAGCCGATATTTGCATCTCAAGATCGACTGTTCCAGTTTCTCTTGATCTAGTTGATGTTAGGACTTTAGTTTTTCCTTTGAGCAACCTAGCATCAACCATGTTCTGATCTCATGGGAAAGGATTATCATCAACTTTTGTCTTTCGAGGTGTATCAAATTTGAGCCTTCCTTGCTGAATAGCCCTCTATATGTGTTGCCGGAAAACTCTACACTCATTATTAGAATGAGAAGTGGCATTGTGAAATTTGTAGAACTTCTTATTCTTCAACTGATTAGAGGGCAACATAACATGATTATTGGGCAACTTGATCTGTCCCTTCTTGAGCAAGAAATCAAAGAGCTTGTCCGATTTTGTGACGTCAAAATCATAGCTTTCTTCGACTCCTCTTCCCGAAGGATTTGGCACCATTACTGTCTTCTTATCCCAATTCCATTCAGCCATGGCAACCTCTTCTTCATCGTCCTTATAGCCGTCATCAACTAAATATGAATTATAGGTTTCGACAATTGCGGTAATTTTCTGGAATCGGGTATCTATGCACATATTCTAAAATCGGCTATTGAGCGCTGCCACTTGTTGAGCCAACTGACCTAAATTGTCAAACTCTTGTCCTAGCAGTTTGTCTCTCCACGTTGGCAACATTCCTTGAACTGCCAAAGCAGCTAGCTGATCATCAGTCAAGTTTAATGAGAAGCACAAATTTTTGGTCTCTCGGAACCTCTGAATAAACTCGGTGCCTGATTCATTAGTTCTCTGCCTTATAGTCATGAAATCGGTAATTTTCTTTTCTCCTATCCCAGTGTAAAAATATGTATGAAACTTCTTCTCTAGGTCAGCCTAATTGGCAATGGAGTTAACTGGCGATAATGAAAACCAAGTGAAGGCTGGTCCTAACAGGGACAAGGAGAAGAAACGAACTCGATGGGCCTCTTCAATGGACGCTTCGCCCAACTATATAAGATACCGACTGACATGTTCTATTGTGCTTGTACTATCTTGGCCAGTGAACTTAGCAAATTCTAGGAGCCTGTAATTTGTAGAAAGAGCGACCAATTCATACCACTCTGGATATAGATGTTTGTATGAGAAGGTCTGCCCTTTTGGCTTCAAACCGAACTGATTCTTCATCATCTCGGTCACTCTAAGCAACAACTCATCAGCATTTGATTTTGGATTTCTCTGTAATTGCTGACCCATCTGTGGATTAAAATTTTGGGTACCTTGATACCCTGGATTTGGAATCATGTGAAGGGTGTTGTAATCTGTGTCATAATCATATCCTTGTGGAATCTCTATCTGTTGGGTCCTTTGCTAGTTTACTGCTTGAAGTCTCTAGTTATAGATGTTATGATCTATATCTTTATGAATCCTTTGAACTGATGGCGCAATTTTTTGAGTCGATGACGGTATTTAACCTGATGTGCCAAAATTAACCATCTGGTTCTGACCTTGCCCCGTCGGCTGTTGCACATGCTGCATTGACGATCCAGGATTATACTATATCTGATTAGCAGTAGCACATTGAACTTGCTCAGATGAACTCTGAACTACCTAGACATCATCATTACGAGCTGGTGTTGCTTCTTGATGGCTAGTACCGGCTTAATTAGTCCCCTAGGATGTGGAATATTGTTGTAAACCGGCCCAACCTGATCAATCGGATATCCATGAAACACCTCTTTCATGGTGTTGTGGAATGTGTTGAGGAAAACTGTATTATGGTTCAATATGGCATCATGAACAGATTTGTTTACAGCTTCTATAAAGAAACATTTGTCTTCAACTTCATCTGCATCTGTCTGCCCATGCAATAGAACTCTTGGTAGTGGATATTTCTGAACAACTTTATTGTCACGTGTCTTGGTATAGGACAACAAACACTTATTCTAAAATTCTTCTATAGCTTTCCTGATGACATCTTTATCTTCATCTGGTAAGTCTACATAAGGCACTATAAGGATGTCACTATTGTTGTAAATCACCATGATGATTGTGGGGTCCCACCGGGCATGCCACAACGTGTGTTGGTGCAAAAATGTGTCGATGCGCCGAGCACACAGCAAGCCAGAAGGATCTGCTTGATGGAGCAAGACTGGAGATCTGCTTGGCTTCAATGCAGGACCAGTCGACCATGCGAATTCCTCCTGAGGGCGTGCTAGTCAATTTGACCTGCAATTGATAAGGAGAGAAAGTTTATCAGTAATTTAAGGTGGAACATGCTGGTCTTGCCTAGACAGTTCCAAGTGTGTGGCTTCGGGAGCATCCAGTGTTAGCCCACTAGATCTTCAGCACGGAGATGTTCAACCACTCACTAATGTGTTCGAGAATGCACTAGTGATGCCGACCTTGAACTATCATTGTCCTCCCTCTAGTCATAGTGTGTGGTCGGACAACGTTAGTCATGGTCGACAGCGCTGGTGAGTGGTCGGCAACACCGGTGATCCAGTGGGCCAACAGCCAGACAGGAAAAATCAATCGAATAGCTGACACGAGAAGAAAATCAGCTGTTAAGGACTGTAACACTCGTAGGTTGTGATTATTTTTATGATGACGAATATGGTGCACATAGATGTAAGTAAAATCATTAGCTAGACAAAATATAACTAGTATGAAGCATTGAGCCGATGAGTCTGATGAGAAAGGATATAACATGCAAACAAATCGACTGTCTAGTACGAACAGTTCTACGAACGCTTCGAATCTAATTCGCTATCATCAACCATGTGGTTCGACCGGATCGATGCAGCTATGATGATAACAACAAACTAAAGCCAAAGAATTCACAAAACCATCCATACTTTGACAGGTTCCCGAAAGACATGCTATATGTATGAAGGCGTAGGCGAATCGGCTAAAAGAGCCGATTCCGGTAGAAAAAGGATCACAGCATGTGAACAATTGACCATTCAATACGAGCAGACCTATCAACTACTCAAACCTAACCTATCATCTTTAACAGTGGGGTTCGACCGGATCAATGGTAGCCATAATAAAGATAACAGATTAAATCTTTAAAGAAAATGGATCTACTCATATTTAACACGATCATGAAGACATACTATGAGCATTAAAGTGCAGGCGATCGGCTATTTAGCCGATGCAGGCATAGCAAACAACTAAGGTCATGCCTGATTGGGAACAAATCTACCAACTAGCACCCTCCAATCTAAAGTGCCATCAGTGGGGATCGACCTGATCGTTGCAGCCATAATAGCGAACTATAGACCAGATTTAACTAGCCAGCAAACCTCTTCAAGATCATACGTGCCTTAACCACGTACTATGCACGATCAAGATCAAGGTAGAACAGCCAATAAAATGTAACCCATCGCTCAAAGTAAGAAATATCGTATTGTCACAAAGCAAACGACAGACTAAAAGGATATGAGGTCGATCTAGTTCGATCTTGATCAGGCAGGTTGATGTTGCTGAAAAACTATTAATAGTGAAAACATCAGCAAGATCGGTAACTTAATGAATCTACCCGAAGGACGCCTCCCTTAGGTAGAGCCGATAACTTGACCTTAATCTAATTCGAGCAGTGGAGGTCAAACTTAACCGATGCAGCCGTACTTGAACTAGATAAAGATCGTTAACTAGCTTATACTAGAGCTCGCAATGAAGGTCAAACTTAACCGATGCAGCCCTACAAACCAAACTATAAGCCATGATGGTACTTACAGACAAGCTGGTGGTCGACCAGACCGATGCAGCCCTGCTTGATGAAGAACTCACTGAGATCTACACTACTCCTACTCCTAAGGGTTGGCACGGAGCCAAAAAAAGTAATTTATATTGATTGATTGGATGTCCTTCTTACAATAGCCGGGGTCCAATATTTATACTCAGAACCTAAGCATGAATCCTACTTAGTTACGACTCATTACAATCTTTGGCATAAGAGAAAATATTCCTAATTTAAGATAACTTGGACCCTAATCTTTTCCTTTTTGTAGAGTCCGACTTGTCTTTCCCGACACCAACCTAGCTTATCGTCATTATCTGTTGGCGCTATCTGAAGAGAGCTGATTCCAGTGCTGCATTTGAATCAGCTGATATCGACCCTTATGCAATTGATTCCTTGATGACACGATCTTGGGAGCTTCGAGTTCCCGCGCTCTTCTGCCCAAATTTTGGTGTAAACAGAAAGGCAAACAAATCTATAGTTGAGATGCTTCAAAAAAACACCAGAAGAGATAGTAGATGAGAGACTTTTAGGGTCTTATCAGCCCACAATTGTGTCCAGTACAAAAACCAAGGACGAGAAGCATTATGTGGGTACACAATGGGCCTTGTTCTTCTATGAATGTGGCATACCTTTTAATGCAGCAGCAGCAAGATAATTTCAGATTGTAGTTGACGCCACATCACAATATCGTTCAGGGTACAAGCCTCCAACACCATGTCAACTTGGGGATCCATTACTTCAAGAAGCTGTGAAGTCAACAAGTTCCATGAGGAGAGGAGCATGAGAGAGCATGGAAACATTATGGCTGCACACTCATGTCTAATGGATGGTCTGATAGGAGGGGACACCACTTAATTAACTTCCTTGTAAATAGCCCGGAGGGGACTTACTTCTTGGAGTTCATTGATGCATCAAGTGAAGTACATGATGCATACATGCTTGCTAGTTTGCTAGAGAAGAAGGTTGAGGAGATTGGGAAGGACAAGGTTGTTCAAGTTGTCACAGATAATGGTGCTAACTTCAAGGCTGTAGGCAAGATTCTCATGGACATGATTCCTACAATATTTTGGAGTCCATGTGCTACGCATTGCTTGGATCTCATGTTAGAAGATATAGGGAACTTGTTGGAATTCACGTGTGACAACTTTCATCTATAGGCATGGGAGGATCCTTAGTGCCATGAGGGAGAAAATAGGTGGGGCTGACCTTGTGAGGCCAGCAGCCACACGTTTTGCAACATCTTTTTTGACTTTGAAGAGCTTGTACAAGCACAAGGATGCTTTGAAGTCTTTAATGGTTAGCGAAGAATGGAATGGGAACAAATTGGCAAAAACTAAGGCTAGTCTAGATGTGCATGACATTGTGCTCTCTACACAGTTTTGGAATTCAGTGGAAGATTGCCTTAGAGCTTCAGGCCCACTCCTTATTGTGCTTAGGGTGGTTGATGGAGATGAGAAGCCAGCAATGTCAGAGGTTCAAGCTCAAATGAACCATGCAAAGGAGAGGATCAATCAAAGCTTTGCTATCCAATCCAAGAAATCTTTACTCAAGAAGATTATGGGAATAATTGAGCGACGTTGGGAGAAACAAATGGATCATCCATTGTATGGGGCTGCACTATACTTGAACCTAGGGAAGCTACATCCTCTCCTAAAAAAGGATGATGATGCAACTGTTGGACAGCTAAGAGGTTGCTTTCTTGATGTGCTTTCAAGAATGGTGGAGGATGAGGAAACTAGAAGCAAGATCAATGCTCAAGCCATGGATTATGAATATCTTAGAGGAGATGCTTTTTCAAATAAGATGCCCATTCAAAACCTTGAGTCAATGATTCCTCGTAAGTGTTTCATTTCCATTTTAATTTTAGCAAGTGTACATCACATCAATTTGATTCCAGCTAGCATTTTTTGTCCTAGTTCCTAACATATTGTTTCATTTGTTTGCTCTAGTTGATTGGTGGCATTCCTATGGTGGCCGTGCTACTAAGCTACAAAGGTTTGTAAGGCGTGTGGTTAGTCTTTGTGCTTCATCATCTGGTTGTGAGCGAAATTGGAGCAAATTTGAATCTGTGAGTATTTCCTCATTTGCTTGCTTCCCTTACCAATATTTCAACAAGCAGTTTATTCATTTTTTTGGTTGTAATTGTGTTTCTGGTTTTGTAGATCCACACAAAGAAAAGGAACTAATTGTTGCATAAGAGGCTGAATTCTATTGTCTTTTTTCCTACAACCGGAAGATGAAATCTAGGTTCCAAAAGTTATGCCAGAACAAGGGAAAAAACTTTGATCCTTTGGTTATTAAGGACTTTGATTGGAACAATGAGTGGGCTGACTCATTGCATGTACCCCCTCAAGGTGCTCGTGGGTGTGAGTGTGACCTTACTTGGAACCTTATTGATGAAGCTGTTGGAGCATCACAATCACTTCAAGGCCGGAACTTTCCAAGAGCAGCCCATAGGCATGCAAGAAATTTTGCACCTATGAAGCTGAGTTGGGTTCAGACAATGAAGAAAATCTAGATCCATTTGATGATGCAGATGTGATAGATTCTGAGGATGATCCAAATGATGCCAATGAAATTGGAGAAGACAATGAGGCAGCCAACGTTGCTGGAGAGTTTGATGATGGCTATTGAGACTTGAGAGATTGGAGATTAAAGATTTCCTCTTTTGTAAGCTAATATATGTTCTGCACTAGCAGCACTACTAATTAAGTTATATATGCCACTAGAGACTAGTTTATGGCTACTAAGAGATGAAACATTTCATATTTGCTACTTGCTACTTTATGTGGTGCCCTAGAACTCTAATAGCACTACATATTATGCTTATAATTGGCTATATTAAGGTTGGATTGGCATATGAATTTTTATTGGTATTATATATTAAATTGTTTGTATGGCGTCGGCTAGGCGAGCTCCTTATTCGCCAAGGTGGCTGGAAGGGGGCCGCTCGCCTTGCCTCGCCTTACCACCTTTAAAACATTGACCATAGGTGTAGCCTGGGACATATTTTCAATCCTAACACGTTCTGGCCCTGACTTGTCTATACCAAACCACATGTTGTTACAACATTTTTGGTTATGTCTTAGTAAGGAATCTGCCCTGTAACTTGATATCACTGCCAAAGGTTCATTTACCCATAAAACCACAACAGAAGGAGAAGCTCTTTTAGACCGCATTCTAGAGAACACTCCCCCCTGGAACCCCTCCGAGTAGAGCTTGAATCAAGCCATGAGGAAGTCTCTTTAGCCAAGTCCAAACCCATAGATCCCATTCAGAGACCCTCACCTGAACCAGAAACTTCAGAGGAAGATTTCCAACCTTTGGAATTTCCATTTTTTGAGGACGAATTTCATGAAGATTTTGAAAATACCTCGAAATACTCATACCAAAAGAGACCACCAGTTCCTGTTACTCCTTTAGACCCTCTAGACAAAGAATTCCTCAGGGAATCCATTAGGGAGTTGACTTCTATCCTAAGCAGCGAATGAGTAGAAGAAGCGGAGCTTTCTTCTAATGAAATTCAGATTAGCACCCCTTCTTTAACCATCCAATGCCAAATCTATAGAACCACGGTGGACGTGCTTTACAATTCTACTATCTGAGCAAACCTCATGTCCACATCTTTCGCACACACCTACTTAGGTGCTGAACCCCTTGCTCCGACAAACAAATCTCTTAGGGTTGCCCCACGATCCAGCCTAAAGGGACATGGGATCTTGCACAACGTAACATTACATCGTGATAATGTCAAAATGTCTCTTGATTTCCATGTCTTTGACATCCAAGATTTCGACATCATGATAGGGCATCCCCTAGAAAAACTCTTCATAAGAACACCTTCATCCGAGGAACTAGACATAAAGTTGGGGAGAGACACATTTTCAATTCCTATCACTCAAGCTAAAAACTCGGTGGTAGACGCTCTTCCCCACCCTGACCTACCTAAGGAAGTCATGTTGATTTTACCCTTCGAATCCCCTGAGTCATCTTTAGAAAACGATGCCAAACTCTTCACATAAGAAGAGGATGATTTAGGCAAAACCATTAACCTTCCTCAGGAGGAAGCACCGACATGACCTCTAGTTGAACTTAAACCTTTACCTGCTGTCTTACGTTATGCTTTCTTGAACAGCGACAAAGAAACTCCTATAATGATAAGCGACAAGCTTACTGATGAGGAGACATCCAAACTCATCGCCATCTTAGAAAAACATAGACTAGTTTTTGGGTATTCACTTCAAGACCTTAAGGGGATAAGTCCAATGCTTTGCACCCATCGCATTCCAATTGATCCTGCGAGCACACCATCACGAGAACCCCAACGTAGGCTCAATAATGCGATGCAGGAAGTCATGAAGAAGGAAGTCCTAAAACTTCTTCATGCTGGGATTATTTATCCTATACCACATAGTGACTGGGTCAGTCCTGTCCAAGTGGTGCCCAAGAAAGGGGGCATGACGGTAGTTGAAAATAATAAAAACAAATTGATCCCACAACAAACTATCATAGGGTGGAGAATGTGTATTGATTATCGAAAACTCAACTCGGCTACAAAGAAATACCACTTCCCATTGCCCTTCATTGATGAAATGTTAGAGCGATTGGCAAAGCATTCTTTCTTCTGTTTCCTTGATGGGTATTCAGGGTATCATTAGATTTCCATCCGCCCTGATGACCAAAGCATGACTACTTTCACTTGCCTGTATGGAACGTATGCGTACAGACGAATGTCTTTTGGGTTGTGCAATGCACCAGCATCATTCCAATGGTGTATGATGTCTATTTTCTTAGACATCATTGAAGAGATCATGGAAGTTTTCATGGATGACTTTTTAGTCTATGGAAAAACTTTTGATCATTGTCTATAAAATTTAGACAAAGTTTTTAAACGTTGCCAAGAGAAGGACCTGGTACTTAATTGGGAAAAGTGTCATTTTATGGTCCAAGAAGGCATAGTCCTTGGACACCTTGTGTCCGAGAGGGGGATCGAGGTAGATAAAGCCAAGATCGAGGTTATCGAACAACTACCACCCCCTGTGAATGTGAAAGGAATCCGTAGCTTCCTAGGTCATGTAGGATTCTACAGACATCTTATCAAAGACTTCTCACAAATCTCTAGACCCCTCACGAACCTGTTAGCTAAGGATGCGCCTTTTGAGTTCACCAATGAGTGCTTAAACGCCTTTCACACCCTCAAAAACGCACTCATCTCAGCACCAATCATCCAACATCTTGATTGGTCGCTGCCTTTTAAGATCATGTGTGATGCTAGTGACTACGCTGTTGGGGGCGGTCCTTGGCCAAACCAAAGAAAAGAAGCATCACGCGATTGCTTACGCTAGCAAAATGCTAACAGGAGCTTAGCTTAATTACGCTACCATTAAAAAAGAGCTGCTAGTAGTTGTTTTTGCTATAGATAAGTTTAGGTCTTACTTAGTAGGAGCAAAAGTTATTGTTTACACTAATCAATCTGCACTTAAATACTTGCTCACCAAGAAAGACGCTAAACCTAGATTAATAAGATGGGTACTTCTACTCTAAGAATTTGACCTTGAAATAAAAGATAAAAAAGGAGTCAAAAATACTATTGCAGATCATTTGTCGCGCATACAAGTCACTAACATGTAGGAGTTACCAATAGGTGACTTCCTACATGACAAGATGCTGCTAAAAGTGATAGACTCCAATCCATGGTACGCGAACATTGTGAATTTCATGGTCGTAGGATACGTACCACCAGGGGAGAAGAAAAAGAAGCTGCAAGCCAAAAGCAGACATCACCTTTGGGATGACCCATAACTGTACAGGGTGTGTTCTAATGGTCTGTTGAGGAGGTGCATACCAATGGCAGAAGGGATACAAATCATAGAAATATGCCATGCAACACCGTACGGAGGCCATTAGGGAGTATTCTGCACACAAGCCAAAATCTAGCAGTGTGGGTTCTTCTGGCCTACGATGTACGAAGACACCAAAGAATTCATCCGAAGGTGTCAGAAATGCCAGCTGCATGGGAGCATCACCGCTCACAACGCAATGCCCCTGCACTACAACCTTCAAATAGAGATATTTGACATTTGGGGCATTGACTTCATGGGACATTCCCAAAATCCCATGACGGCGAGTACATCCTGATAGCCGTTGACTATGTATCCAAATGGGTGGAGGCCTAACCATGCAGAGCTACCGATGCCAAGCATGCCTAAAGGATGTTCCATGAAGTGATCTTCCCTCGCTTTGGAACACCCAAATGGTCATAAGTGATGGAGGGTCTCATTTGATTGATAAGACCTTCCGAAACTTCCTAAAGGAGCTTGGATCAAAGCACAACATAGCCACACCTTATCATCCTCAAACAAGCGGTCAGGCAGAAACATCGAACAAGCAGATCAAAAACATCCTGTAGAAAACAGTCAATGAAATGGGGAAAGGCTGGAAAGACAAGCTACCTGATGCACTTTGGGCATATAGGACAGCTTACAAAACCCCCATCGGTATGTCACCATACCAGCTCATTTATGGAAAAGTTGCCACTTACCAGTCGATCTAGAGCATAGAGCTCACTAGGCAATAAAGAGCCAGAACATGGACGTAAAACTAGCCGGCAGAAACCGACAAAAGCAAATTGCCAAGCTAGAAGAATGGAGGGAGAAGGCTTACCATAGTGCCAAGCTTTATAAAGAAAGAACCAAAAGATGGCACGATCACCGAATCAAGCAAAAAGAGTTCAAGGAAGGTGACAAAGTTCTTCTATTCAACTCCAAGGTCAAACTCTTCGGTGAAGGAAAACTTTGAAGCAAGTGGAAAGGACCGTACACCGTCATCAACACGTCATCACATGGCACGATCAACTATTAAAAGTTTTCTTGGAGCCTTCATATAATCCAAAAGAAAAAATAGATGTAACAAAATTAATTGCTTTTAACAAATTCCCTAACTCAAAATAAGTACATCTCAAATTCAATAAAGATTTTTAGTAGAATTGTTGTCTACACTTGTCTTTGTGTTTTCTTTTATTTACAACTAAGACAGGTGCAAAAACAAGTGTGGGGGAGAAGATGAGCTCAAATACTCCTCCCCAAAAGATGCACAAGTGGTCAACATGATCAAATTTTGGTTTGTGCATCCTCACTCCTTATATTTAAAATAAAGGTTAGAGCTGAATAATTTAAAAATTACAAAACTAAAAAGGAGTAACGCTCCATCTCCATGTCTTCCTAGGATTAAAAAAGTTTGTATACTCTTTATTCCTTGCTGAGATTCCTATAACTTGTGAACACTTATCATAGGGACCCCATTTTATCTAAGTGATTGACGAATGAGATATGGTAGGATGACATGACACTTGCTCTTTCTTGCAAAGTACTTGGGATTTATCTTTACAAAACAAAAATTCAAAATAACATGTTCCTTGAATGATATACAAATACCTACCAAGGCCTTATATGATCATACATGACAAAACCTTCCACATATGCCTCTTGCTTTGTGTTGAGTTTGATCAAGTTCTGTGATCCCTGTTGAGAGATGCTTCATGCTCCCAAGATCAAAACTCACGTACACGCCACAAATAAACACCTATTCCTACACTAGGAATACGCTAATACATGCTTCCATCACATACATACTCC